AGCATTGGTATATAGTGAGTGTAGAATTTCCAAGCATCTAACCGCACTCTATTCTCCTTCCCACCTACGCCCGGTGTCAAAATCTAGTCCAAAAGACTGGAGGTGATTAGAGAAGCAGGTGGCTCGCGCAGCCGGACCCGCACCTATGCGTACCACACACCACTGACCCACAAGAAACACTTGAACAGGATTTTAACCAACAGCAAAGGCACCATAACTGGTAAGGAGGACGAGGATGACTGAGCAACCATGCTCACGACCTGTATGTTCCAGCGGGAGTGCAAACGCATCTACCGGCAGGGGACCTGGCCTCAGAGGGCTGCCAGTGCATACCAGGCTCCGAAGTCCATGGTTTGCTGATCCTGGCATAGCAGACACTTACATATATTTAAGCCCTGCTAATCGTTATAACGTCCATCAATGCATTCAATTTGCATACATTTAGAGGGGAGCACAAGAAAACTCAGTATACTCGAGCAGAAAATTGAGAAGGAATGTTTGTGTAGTGTGTGCGAGTAGACGAAGAAAGGGGTGATGTCAATTTGTTGGTCATGTTCTTCATAAGAACATTGCCATTAACTCATTGGGCAGAAAGTTATATTTTGATCAGCTAGTTGATTAAAACAAGACGCTTGATCTTTAACCATCTTAGTCGCCCCTCTAAGGGATCTTCCGATAATATTCTAATTTCTAGAATGCCCGCAGTCTCATCCCGCTTGTCTAATGTATTCCAAATGCGACCTCACAAATGTCCTGAAAATCTCGGAAAAGAAGTACTCATCACAATCCACAAAGGTCCTCTTGATGGCGTAAAAGACGGTTTTACTGAGTTCATCGTGAGCTTGCTGAAGTCCTGCGGATCGAACACGCGAAATTACTATAACTCATTGAAAATCATGCGAGGGCTGCATTTTTAACTTGGTTTGAGTTTGCGTTTTTACTGAAGAAGGTCAAATACAAACTCAGAGGAGACTGCAAATCATTCGTATTTGTTGGGTGGAAATTCGCTGCATACATCGCACAGTGCTGACTGCATAGTTTTTAAACTGTCATTTAAACGTGCTCCCAGAGACGCTCTGTTGGATTGATTCATCAGGAGACATTGCGAACGATCACTGCCGGGGTATCGGCATGATATTATCTGAAAGATTGTAGCCGTTTAAACTGAAGATACAATCCCTAAGCATACTATAAAAGCCGTTCATACTGTCTATTTGGCATATGTAGATATCTGTGTGCAACGAGCGGGAAGTAGGTATGATATGTGATCCAACTCTCATGAAATATCATTCCTATCTTAGGGTACACCGATGTGGTAAGTGGGCTGTCTGCCCATACAGGAACAGAAAGGCAACTGTGCGTTTGGCTATCAGGCACTAATGTTCCTGCCAGCAGTTCACAGCGGTCATACGCACAAAACTTCTGTCGACGAAAAGTATCTGCAGTGCTTATTTCTTTGTGCCCGTCTAATCCGCGAATGCGAATTTGATATTTGGCCACCGATGGGTTGAAACCCAACACAAATACAAAATATCTGGACTGTAATGCCGAACGTTACGGTTCCTGTGGGTGCAGAGGAAGTTCAGCACAGTTAAAGGCCTTTCCTCTACCACGGGCGTATAATTACTGGATTTTCGGTAGGATCGCAGTTGGTAGCCATACCCATTGAAACCTCAATTGCATCTACTGGCTGGATTTCAGTGCAGATGTCACGCCACACTCCGTATCAATGCACTGCGGTATTCCGACTTATGCCAACCGAGGTTGCACATCTAATTACCGCAGTGCCTTCAATGAAAGCAAGGCAAGTTTTCATCGCTTTCGACAATGACAGGTGCCTTCCTTCAAACACCGAGCCTGTTCTCAGCGCTCTCTTATCTCCATAACGGCCGCATCTTCAGTCTGCAGACCACAGTATACAGAGCTTACCTGAAGGCATAACTGTCGGTGTGCTGACGCAGTTTTTGTACCAGCATGGGCTTTCGACATCCACACACTAAGCGACATGTCAGCAGTCCTTTCTGTCGCAGATACTGTACTAGGTTGGGGAACTGGATGACTTCCTGGATCCGCGTATAATCCGTCGGCCTGTCCACTTACCGACCTGCTTTCCGTCGCTTTCTGAGAGACTGGGCTCTGCAAGCAGGAGAAAGTGCGAATTTATTTACAATGTGCTGATTGCTCTCTAAATTGCATAAACCCCTACGCGTCCAGAACACAACTACTACCTTGGTTTGATACATACATGTGACCCCAGTGGCAACATACTGTCGCTTTCAGATTTTCCTTTCCGACGTCCCCTATCTTTCGCCTTAAAGTCTTCCCGTGACTGCGTTGTACCGCTCTGCGTGTCGCTCTTTGCCTCTTGTGTGCTCACATCCAATACGTTGGTCGGAGTCTTATCGCACACACTGCGGAATGACCTACAGTTAGACTGCCTTCTTCCTATTGGCTGTTCGCCTCCAAGTACGTTTCCTTCCAATCGGGCGCTAGCACGCATTTATTCCACAGGCCGTACTACACATCCAGGTTTATTTCTACGACTTCCTTGCTCAGTTCACCTTAAATAAACTAGCCTAACACTTTACCATGAGCTTCAGTTTCGGGCATACACTATTACATTCAAGAACGCCTGCACGCAACTGTCCCACGTGCATACCCCCTATTACCACCGGTCCCGCAAGACAGGCACCTCGCAGTTTTCCGTACAGGGACGGCTACCAACTGCAATCTAATCAAAAAATCCAGAAAAAATTGCAGCCAACTCTAGACCGTGCCACGTGCAATATGCCAGAATTCGTTTGGTCAATGGGCTCAACAGAAGTCTTTGAAAAATTAAAAACATTCACTCGTAATTAGAGGATGCAGTCATATTTCGAGTTGGCGGAAGAAATTCTTGCATAGGCCAACAATACCGACTGCAACCTGGATGCAGTCATCGACAAAGTGATAAAAAGTTGATAAAGAAGAAAATGTGCGCGGGAACAGAGGTTCCTCAGATTCTCGAAAATTGTATAGAGCAACAGTGTTGCTTTAGATATGAATCGCCAAATTCCCGAATGCCATCTTGCAATACACATTGACATGATTGTATACCACAATGTGGTGGCAGAAAGAACATGCTGTTGACTTAGAATACTCAGATCTTTCGGAATTAACATACCGTACATCAAACATGAAATGTCCAAATTAGACTGTCGGTGTTCCCTAGGCTCAGTGCAACACTGACGACTCCTTGTGAAGGCGTCGATTTTTTGAGGAACACACGGTCGCGCACTTTAACCGCAAACGACAGTTTCGGTCTCTTGCCAACTTCCTAGCCGACTTTGGAGTAACAGTGAATTATTATGACTGCAGATGCTCAAGGACATAATTTAGATAGTCATTTGCAGTTGTGAATAATTAATATGGGGTGTACAAATGTGTTTTATACTTCCGTGGTTGGAATCAGCGCAGTAAAAGCAAAATGATATTCAAAAATGGAAAAAATATGTACAAGCCTAGTCATGTCAAACAACAACGGTGCGGATTGAATGCATCATTGGTGTAGGCGAGTGGCCTCGCAGGCCAGGCTTTTGTACCAGGGCGCCCGATGAGTGTCTGCTTCCTGCAGTCGGGAGGCCTGTTTCGAAGAAATCTGCAGACCGCTGTGGACAGAGGTA